GTTTTTCGTTTACCTTTTCCCCCTAGCTAGGAGGTCAGGTTAATAGAGACAGAAATAGAACTACTGAGAACAGATATCCTTGTCTTCAACGTGACCCTGAGGGCCAAGCAACCAGCCTTTCACCACTGAGTGTAACATTAGCTGTTGGTTTCTTGTTGTGTCTTTCATCAGATTGGAGAAGTTCCCTGTGTTCCTCGTATGCTGAGAGTCTTTATAGTAAATGCCAGTTGCTTTTTCTGCATCTATTGAGATGGTCATGTTTTCTTTTTTAATCTGTTTATTGAATAAATCACACTGATGGATATTCATAAGTTGAGCTAACCTTGCATTCCTGGGATAAATCCAGTCATGATGTAATGTCCTTTCACGGATTGCTGGATTCCATTTGTTAATATTTTGTTACCGTTTGTTTTTCTCTGTTCACGATGCACATGGAATCCTCTTGAATCTGCCTCACTCATGTGCCTGCTGAGGGGACCAGGATGACTAGAAAGCTGGGTTCACCTAGGACTGTCCTTGGAGTGCGTCCACACGGCCTCTCCATGTTACTGTGTCTCAGAGCTCAGCAGCTGGGTTCCAGGAGGGAACATTCTGGAGGGAGAATCAGAAGAGAGTGTCTGGAGAGTGAGCATCCCAGAACCCAGGGGTTGCCATGTGGCCTTTTTCTAATGCAGCCTAACGGAATTCACAGAGCATCACCTCCCCCAGAGTCACAGCCCGCTGAGATTCAAGGGAAGCATTTTCAGGAATTTGTGGTTGTTTTTTGAAACCCACACAGTTAATGACACTGATTTTCCGGGCTTAGAAATGCATTGGCTCTCACAGAAAGAGAGAGACCGATGCAGGCTGTGAGGGGGACGTAGAGGTCTGTTTTCACTGACCATGTGGTCTTCCTGAAAGTCTGGTACTAGGGTGACAAAACAGGAGCACTTTGTTCTTATAACCTCTCAAAATAAATGGAAAAGAAAGGACTGTATTTTATCCAGCCATGAAACTTTTTTATCTGCAGTATTTCTTTTCACCTCTTTACGTAAAAGGCGTGTGGTGTAAAGTCTCCCCGTTGTCTTCCATTTCCCCAGTTCTCTCCCACCCACCCCCCAAAAAGACAGACAGCTGCTGCTTTTAGTTTTTGAAATCTGTCTTTGAATCTTTCCTATGAGTCTTCAGGAAATAAACTGATCTCAGATCTATCTAAGCAAACAATAACTGCAATTTAAGGGCATAGCAGTGTTTACTTAACCAGCTACCTATGCATGGGCATTTGGGTTGCTTACAGTCTTTTTCTGTCTTAAGCAACGCTGCAGTAAATAGCCTTAGACGTTCGTAATTTCCCCTAAGTAGGAAGCATCGCTGTAGCTGCAGTAGCAGGCTGGCGTGGGCGCTGGAACTCCGCGAGCACGGCTGAGGGCGCCTCCTCAGGCCCCCGGGTTACCGGCCCTCACGTGCTCCCGCCTGGCGGGAAGAGAGGGCTGGGCTCCCCTCAGCTTTGCTGTCACATGTGCAGTGAAACGTTTTCATTTTTACCAATCCGATAAGTAAAAAATGGTACCTGGGTGCATTTTTATCTTGCGTTTTTCTTAAGTTAGCTTTTCGTTTGCTTAAGGACCATTTTCTTTCCTTTTCGGTGAATGTCTTCCTATTCCTCACCCATGGGAAAAATTAGATTGTTGCTCTTTTTCTTACCTAGTTTCAGGGACTCTGGGTTTTTCTTGTTTTGCTTTAGGGAAGTTTCAGGGAATGAGGAAGAAAGTGAGGGCTATGGATGAAAGCAGTAAAAGCTAGGACACTAAAAATTGCTGGATGTGAAATAAAGTCAAAAACCCCAAATCTACTGCTCGTTCAGTTATAGATACTGGGCTCTCGTGCTTGGTTTAATCTAAAAATTTCATAATAAAGGCCTAAAGGATTTAATAACTAAGGAAGAGCCTAACTCACAAAGCAACATTAACATTCTCACCTATTTTTACTGTTTTTTTATTTGAAAAGATGTTTCAGAAACATGTTTTAAAACTGTTACTGTTATAATCTTTGAAGATCAGATTTTGTTTTTATTTTTTTACATTACCATCCTCATTTACACCTATATTAAATAGTGTC